ACCTTTGCAATGGAATAATTATGGATTTGAAAATGCTGTTATTAAGTTTGTGGAGTCAGTTCTGACTCATAGTGGCCCGAGGAGCAGCTGGTGAGTTTGAACTATTAATCTTGCCGTTCAAACCGACATTGTGGTCCAGTGCTTATGCTACAATGCCACACCAGGACTCCTCAGGTTTCAATATTGTTGCTAAATGCTGTCGAGTCAGTTTCAACTCATAGTGACCCTGTAAGGGGTTTCTGATTATCAGTTAGTGGGTTTGAACTGCTGATCTTTTGTTCAGTCTAGTGTTGATCTGCAGTGCCATACCAGGATTTCATTCCAGTGAGATTAAAGCTCAGTTTAGTCACAGTGATAACTTGCTTGGCAATTAACTCTTTATTGCCTTCTCTTCCTTCCCTGACTCATGTTCTCATGCTCCTACTGTGTTTCTTGGATCATACAAAATGAACGGCTTGCACTTTCCTGGTAGAAAACAAACTTAAAAAATACTTTCTTAAAGAATAGGCTGAAGAGACAGACGTTCAATAAGAGGGAGTATTTATGTTCTTTAGTAACAGGCTTGGTTGTAGGAAAGGCAAACATACGAACAAACAAATGGGTTTAGGAATATCTGTGATTATCAACTGTCTGTGCTTTCTCTTAAAAGTCAATCTAATAATGATTGAAAATATATTACTTTTGTCCCTGATCCTGTCAAAAATTTAGGAAGAAAAAGAACTCTAAGTTATAATGAACAAAGATTGAGGATTTTTTTCTTCTTCTTCTATCATTATAATTTTCTATCATTTTTATTGTTATTGTTAATGTGCTTTCAAGTTGGTTAGGATTTATGCTAACTCTGTATAGGGTTTCTGAGGCTGTAAATCTTTGTGAGAGCAGAGAGCCTCATTTTTCTCTAGAGGAGTGACTGATGCACTTGAACCGCCAACCTTACGATTCTCAGCCCACTGTTTATCCTACAGAGTGACCACACTCCCATTTTCTATCATTTATTGTTGTTCAGTGCCATGAAGTCAGTACCAACTCATATCGACTCATACAGCATTTTCAAGGAAACAAGTCTTTAAGACAGTAGGAAGCCTCATCTTTACTTTGCATTTTCTATCTTACTTGCTTATAATTTATAACTCATCAAACGAATTAGCGTAGAAAAGCACACACGCTCTATTATGTATTAAGGTGTTAGAATGTATTATTAAATTAGCAGTTCCAATTTCTTGGCTAATTAAAAAAATAAAATTTACATATTTTCAGAGAATTGAAAGGTCAAATGCTTCTATTATATATATTTTTAAGTTTATTCAAACAGTTTATTTGTAGCATAAAATGTATATCATGCATATCAATAATTGGACAGCTCATGAAATTTAAAAATGTTTTTCAGTTTTATTAGGTGATATGTAAAAAGCAATGGGTAAAATATTTAATGTCTATATAATCAGAATAGTAGAGTTATATACAATAAGAATGACAGAAATATAATTGAAACAAACAATATATACTAATCAGATCAGATTAGCACATAGAGGATTTATCTTTAGATGCTTGATCAGGTCTGGGCCCTTCATAATTCCTGGCATATCATACATACGTAGGTTACTGTTCAGCATACCAGTCCCATTAAAAATCATTTGTTCTACTTCTGGGCCCTATGGAATGGCGAGGGGTAGTATTTAAATGTAAAATCTGAAGAAGGCAATAAGAGAATGGCCAAATAGTATCATATGTATTCCGTGCACAGAATCTACTCAGGTAAGCGGCAATTTAACTCAGAAGGTTTATTTTCAATTTAGGTTACACATGGAAATGGCAGATATAGTTTCAGAACTATTTAAGCAATATTTTATTTTAAAAAATATGTTAAGCTTGGACTTTCCAGTTCTAAAAGTCAAGCTTCCCCCAATTCAAACTATACTCAGCCCAAGATTTAATGAAATACAACAATAAATTATCTGGGTCCTCTATCTTTTCTGGTACTGAAACAACTTCGTCACAAATCCTGTCCCTTTCCTCATTTCATCTCATATATTTAAAAACATATTTTATACATTTCACAGAACACTTCACAAAGTCTGGCATTCGACTCTTTTTATCTTGACTGCCGCATATTTAGTCCTAACTGATGGTTTTGTTTTTGAACTCACCATAGCTCCCGTTTCCAATTCTAATCCATATATTGCTGTTGTTAGGTGCTTGATTTTGACTCACAACATCACTAGGGTTTCTTACCTCTATGTTGTTGATGTTGTTGTTGTGAAGTGCCTTCGAGTCGATTCTGACTCATAATGACCCTGTATAGGGTTTCCAAGGAGTGGCTGGTGAGCTTGAACCACCGACCTTGCAGTTCAAATGGCTTTACAGTCTGGCGCGTTAACCCACAGCACCACACCAGGACTCTATGTACATCCTCTTTATTACAGCCATGAAGGTTGTATCATGATTTCCTATTTCATTATATGAGGGGCTTCAAAAAGTCTTCTCTTTTTGAAGACCCTTTGTATAATCATATCACATTCTGTGTTTTGGCTCATAGCTCTTTATCAACATGCATTCACTTACCTGATTTCCCCTTTCTTTGATTCTTAGTGCATTTTCCTTCCACTTGAGGCAAATGTTTTTTCATATTCCAAATAAATCTTTATTCCTAAACAAAATGTTATTCTCACGTTTGCTCTGCAGATTGTCATCTATTTTTCATACCTTAAAAAACACCAGACATCACAATGTCTCCTTTCTCTATCAGAAATTGAATTTGTTCTTTCTGGTTATTGTTTTTGATAACATTTTTGGTTAGGAAATCATAGTATTACAGTGATATCTCCTTCATCCGAAGGTTAGTTTAATACTGAAGTCATCTTTCAAACTAATGTGCTTTAGAAGAAATTACAGAGGAGTATCAAATCTAGCTAGTATGTTGTATCTTTTTACAGCTCACAATGCACTGCCACACACATTATCTCATTTGACTGGAAGGAATTGTGAGAAGCAGAGTTGCTATCCCTTCCTTAAGTAGGAGGAACCTGAAGCTCCAGTGTACTGCAGTATTCAAGAAGACAGGCTTTGGAGTTAGGAAGATTTGGGTTTGAATTACTTCTACAGTGCTTGTAACTGTGAGACTTGGGTAAATTAGGAATGTCTTTTAGCCTCAACTGCGCCATAAAATGGGGACAGTGATAGCTTTTGCATGTAAAAAAGCATAGTATGTAATGTAATGTGGATTGTTTAGCACATGGTGAGTATTTACTAAATGGCAACATGCTACGAGATTTGCTCAAGGCATACATTTTAGGCCATGGACCCAATACTTTAGATTCCTGTTGTTGCTAAGTGCCGTGGAGTCTGCCCAGGCTTTTTCAATATCTCTGCACACTGAATTAAACAACTAACCTAATGGATGACCTTGAGCAAAATACTTCACAGAGTCACTTTACTCATTAGTAAAATGAGGAACTTGATTTAGGTATTTTCTTAAGTCCCTTCAGAGTCTATTCCAGTTACATTCAATTCGGTTTTTCTGTATTGTTGCCGGCTGAGATACTGGTTCATGATCTATCTAGGATCTTCATAATCATAATCTGTAGACTTTGTTATTTTCGTTCCGATACACATATTTCGTTCAAAATTTAGTTTGTGTACACATAGCTGCTGCCTGTCTTTAGTTTGCCTACCAGCTAGTGCCTTGTGAAGGGGAAATCCACGCTTAGCAAAATAGCTTTATTTTATTTATATCCTGGCTTGTTCTAGAGAGGATCTAAGGCGGCGAGTGACACTGTAAGTCCCCTAAAGGTGTCACACAGTGTGATTAAGAAATACTCTTTTGATGATATCAGCCCATAGACAATCATCGACGAGTGAGATTCTAACGAAAGTCTTTTTACCTAAATCTTACAAACAAACGAGAGTACCTAGCTTGAAGTCAGTTTGGACTAAGTGTGTGGCAGTGAAGATAAGAGGCGGATGCCAGTATGAAATCTATTTTAAAAGACATAAGCGTACAGTTATGACTCTTCCCCGAGTCTTGACGCGCTCCCACCCGTTGTCATCGGTCACTCTAATGCCCTTCTAGACCGACCAAAACTGTCGTCGCTCCAGTGCTAGCTGGACCAAGATCCCACCCCGCCCCTTCACGCTCGCATCACCCAAGTTCTTGGATGGGAAGGGGCCTGAAGAGCCTTGCTTCCATTCTATTTTATTGGTTGGCACCGCTGTCAGTAATCTCTCCTTCCCGCCTTCCAGTCTAGCGTGTTTCTCGGACCCCTCAGTTTCTGCGACAAGCCGTGTATGTTTCGTTTGCCAGAGCAGTGTTGCCGGGGACCCGCGACCTTTCACCCTACCCTTCCCTCTCTAGCTCCCCAGCCCCCGCCGCGCGCCCCCGCGCA